GTGCGCATAGAATTTTATTGTTACACTCTAATAGAATTTATGTGAGGGACTCAAAAATTGATTCATCAAGGTAAAGAGCTAGTTTAGTCCACTCTAATAAAATCACTTGCTCTCTCCAATTTATACTACTTAGAGAAGAAAAAGATCATAACTCTCTGTAAATACAATTGATCATCTATCTGTACAAGACAAAATTTTGTTTATTTATACACTAAGGTAGTGTAGTCTTCATTGTCATGATTAGGTGGTTCCCCAAGTCAGTAAGAATATTTTCGAAATCCTTAACCGTTAGAGGCTACTCTTCCCTTAGGCACGATAGGCCACTTGGTGGTCAGGTTTGTTTTTGTCTTCCCAATGAAGGGTTACTGTTTAGATTTCTTTATTGCCCTTCTGAATATCATTGAGCTCCTTGTCACATATAATGAGCCTTTTTTTATTGGGCCGACCAGGCCCACTAGGGTAGCCACTTTCTTCATTGTTGTGCTGGGCTTGTCTTTGGATACTAGTCTTGTTTGGGCTGGGCTTTTTTTTCTTTTTTATCCAGTATATCAAGATGAAAAGGTTTAAAAAGAAAATAATAAAGAAGAAAATGTGCATCAAATAGACTTTTCCAAATCTCCTAATAAAGTGTAGCCTTGTGCCACCAAAAAAAGGGGTGTGGCTGGTGGGCTCATGGACGAACCTTTTGGGCCTTTTCTTCAGTCAACGTTCCAGTTAAGATGCACTAGCACTACAGCACAACACAATGATCAATGATCACACTCGTTCTGTCAAATAAAGCTAAAGGCATACACACCCATCATCATCAAACGACTGCCACTTTTTCCACATTGCGGGTGAAAGCATATTCTTGTTAATGAGTAACTACTGCTCATAATCGAAGTCGAATTATTTAAATTTGACTCATATAAGATTGATTTTGAACTCAACTCAAAATGAATTAAGTCAATGCGTACAAATAAACAAACTAGACTCATCTTTTTATGTTGAGATCGCAAGTCTGTCTATAATTAATAGTCTAGGTGGTGTTGAAGCCGGCTCATTCATGTTATTCATCTTAAAACTATGAGTCATAACAATGTTCACCAACTCTTCTATAGTCATCTAAGTTCATTTCGAACGCTACTCATTTTCTTAAAATTTAAATTATAATCAAGTTAATTCATCTTAACAACTTGTTAAATGAGATGGTTGTCCAGATGTCGAATATAGAGAACATGAAGTCAATTGTACACAATATAATCAATCCTAACTTTCCATATGCAAAAAAAAAAAAAAAAAACTTGATTTTTCTCCCAAGTGTATTTGAAATTTCTTCAATTAGTCAATTTATTTAAAGAAAACTCGCTGCTACGATACAACACATCTAACACAATCACTCCAAAAATAGACAAAATAAAAACAAACATTTTATAGTTTCTCATTTGAATACCTTCTTCCAGTTTGAACTCGGGACGACTCGGTTGAGTTACAATTTTTATTTTATTTTTTTATCAGAGTTGATTTGCAATTCATCTTTGCCATCTCCTTAACCAAAAAATAAAAACAAAATAATAATAATAATAACCAAAAAACAAACATCACAACGGATTCAACAAAGATAAGAGTAAAAGATTGTAACTCACTAACTCACCCAAAATATTAAAAATAGTTAGTTCAAGAAAACACCCGAATCGACTCACATCACTCGCTCCAGCACTTGTTCCTTAAAAGACTGATTCATCGGAAAGCCCATTAAGCAAAGGTCGAGATTCACCCAAACTATCATACCCAACTAGGCGGCATCTTTGAAAGTCCTCCAGACTATTGAACCGATCCGAGATGACCGACTCGGGTCCTGACATGAATCGGAGTATCTCTTCGAACTCCGATTCATCACAAGGTATAGCTAAAGGTCCTGGATTGGTGAACCCGTACTCTTTCTCAGCTTGAACTAAGAGTTTTCTTGAAGATGGGGTGGTTCAGGTACGTCGCTCGAACTACAAACCTTTTGCAATTGGTCCCCACGTAGATTGGTACCTGTCCCGGAGCCACATCGGACGGTACGCTTACGCCGGTGAAGCGGGAGGTTGATGATGACGCAGCTTTTTTGCGCCACTGTCGTAGCATTTGCCGGATTCTGACTATGTGCCTGATTTTATTGCATTTTCCTACCGTTGGCGACATTTTAGGCGCAGAAGCAGGCCGCGTAGAACATAGAGTGGAGAGAGAGAGAGAGAGATTATGTATGCGTTTCAAATGTAGCCAAGGTCATGTGGGAGGCAGATCAATAAGAGGATTAGTCCTGATGTGGGGTTAGAATTAGATTACTAATAAAAGCTTCAATTCAATCTCTTGACGGGGTTGGGTTGATGGTGATGGGGTCGTTAAAGGTGTTTTTTTCCTTGGCATAAGTGGGGTACAACTCATAAAATCATACCGTATTTTTTGGGTGTTAATCAAATAAAAGTAACGGGACTATCCTCCGTCGGATTGTTTCGGGTGTGTTTACTTATAAGTCTTTCTTGACCTTGAGTCTATAGAGTCGATGGTTAGGATTTGATCAAAAAAATCGTAACCTCTTAAAGAGAGCGTTCGGTGTTAGGCTAGAATCTCACACTTTGGACTAGAGACTTTGTCGTAATAGTAATTACGCGAGTGTGTCGGAGGACTGGGTTATTTCACATCGAATAACTTCAAGTGTGTGTATGCGCGCTTATAAGTTTTTCCTCCTGGCCCCGACTCTATAGAGTCATTGCTTAGAATTTGATCAAAAAAATAAAAGTAATGGAACTTAAACATACTCAAATTTAACTGGATTATGATTGATCCAATTAGGGTCAAACTCAATTTTCTCATATTACAACAGGGTTCTATTTATTATTATTCTTTAATGGTATGTAAGGCCTTCAATACTTTGAATTTTTCAATCCTTACATTTGAAAAAATAATAGATGGTCATTATTTTCTTTAAATTTAGAAATAAGATGCATTATATTTTAATTCATTTAACTCTTTCAAAGTTTGCAACAACTCTTACTTTAGGTTGTGTTTAGTTAACGATAGAATGCATGAACAAAACAAAATTGCATAAATGTTTTAACTAAGCATGAAAAACAAGACACTTGGTTCTCCTTCTACTCCATTAACAAAGCCAAAGTATGTTCAATAGAGCAGATGAAAAAGGCAATCGACCAAAATAGGGAACCACTAGAAAGTTGATCGATTCGACTGATAACAATTTTAAGCAGGATGTTTATACTGAGCAAAAATGTGAAAAACATAGTAAATGATACACCAAACAAACTAGAATCCGAATGGAACTCTAATTCCACAAAACATAAGATAAGGATAAAATCAATTCGAACATAAGATAACTAGACTGTCATTAAAGACCAGAGGTGGCCAAGAAGAACGAATACAAAATATGCTTATTCAAAAGTTCATATTATTAACATGTGACCTAAAAACCAATTAATGATAATAGAAGCTTAAGAAGACTAAACAAAAATTATAAACTGTTGGGACTGAAATCTAGGTGTGCCACCATATTATAACTAGGATTCAAAGTTCTATTTAATCAAGACTAATTCTTATAATATCGGATAATCTTAAGTCTAATGTACACACATATACACCCTTTATTTAGTGAATTATATATATTTTGTGAAACTCTTACTGATTTAAATATAGGAATACCTACAATCCGGTACCTCACCAATGTCTGACAGTTTGTTCATTTTTCAAATTAGAGACGATCTTAAGTATTTAGCCCCAAAAAAACTCTTTATCCCCACCATGTGCAATTTTCTCCCGATGAAGTAATAAAATAAAACATAACTACAAACCAACAATCTTCTAAATAAAAATCCAAGGACTTAACGAGTGAGTTTAGAATGAGAAAAATGTTATTTTGATTAAATTTGTTGACCTAATGTATCATAATCATTGAATTAGTAATGAACCCCAACTAATAGTAAAACACATTGTCAATTCAATGATTAAAATTAATTATATCAATAAATAAATAAATAAGATTCAAGTAACATTATTATTAAAAATGTTATTTACCAAAAATATGTGAGAAACAACTCATTTTCCAATGTGAAGGAACCAAAATAAAACCAAACTTGACTAGAACTCGAGCAAATCGATTCATTTAACACTCGAATAGCAACACACATTGAATCATTAGGATTTATGAACGAGGTTGAGGAAGTCACATTGAAAGCTGTGAAGAAAGTAGATTCAATATTACAGCAAACTTGGGTGGTCTGGGCAAGCCATAGCGGTCTGGAAAGTCCAGAAAAATGGCATAAAAAGAGTCCAAGGAAGCCCAAACGAATTGGCCCAACCAAAAGAGGGCCCAATCCAAGTATAGTCTCAATTCTGTGAACGGGTTGGGTGAAAAATTAAAACCCAAACTAGTTGGCCTCTGAAAACAGAGCGCAATTAAAAGGATATAACTAGAAGCCCATAAGAGTTGGCCCAAGGAACTTTTAATTCTTTATATCCATAGATTACAGAAAGCGTAATGAAATGACCAGAATACTCGTAGACGTAGGAAGTGGATATTCTGAGAAATCTCCATCTTATTCTTCTTTCTTCCTTGTACTCTCTCTCTCAAATTTCACACACTCCCTCCAATTAAGAACAAGAACCACGCAAGAGAGAGAAAAGGATTCTCTAATGCCGCACCCACTGATTCGCAGCCTCCACTATCCTCTACCAATCATCACGCTATGTTCGATTCCGACAAGCAAAGAATTAACGCCGTTGATCCACTCCAAGTCCACCGTCACTTTTCTGAGTCGGCCACAGCAGATAAATACTACTAGTACTAGCGGTAGAAGCGCGATGATAAGGTGTATGGCGAACCCTAGGAGGGTGAAAATGGTGGCAAAGCAGATAATGAGAGAGCTTTCCGACATGCTTTTAACTGACAAGATTTTGCAGTACGCTGTCCTTCCCGAAGCAGCCCTCGGCGCCGATCGATACCTTTCTTCTCTTACTACAATCAGCGATGTCGAAGTCTCCACTGATTTACAGGTAATAGGTAGTAATGAACATACATTCTTCACGCTTACATACATAGTGTGTATTTTGCTCTTTTTTCCCCTAATTCAATTTGGCCATGGATACGGTGAATTTCATCTTCAGGGAATGGTATAGGCATTAAGTTGCCATTGATACGACAAATTTTGTGTTCATAGAATGGTATAGGCATTAAATTTGGAACTTTTATCCCGGGTCACTCCTGAAAAATCTGTTTGTCGTAGTATCAAGTGGAATATGATGGATCACTTGGCTAGGAAATTCAGTAATGACCTTTGAGGGCCATGAAATTTTCTGCCGGAGTTATGGGTATAATGAGATGTGCTGATGTGCATTTACCAATATCATAATTTGGAAAGTAGCCGGTAAGGGAATTTGAATTCATCCTGTGGAAGAATCTCCACTTGGTTGTTTTATTGTTATGGGAATTTTGAAAAGAAATCTGTGATATCTTAATAGTTGTGATTTGGATGAACTTGAGGTTTTGGTTCCTCAGGAGCACTTTTTTTTTCTCCTATTTTTATAGGTTGTTAAAGTATATGTATCTGTTTTTGGTGATGAAAGAGGAAAGGAGGTTGCCCTTTCTGGGTTGAAGTCAAAAGCTAAGTATGTTCGAACTGAGTTAGGTAGGCGTATGAAGTTGCGGCTGACTCCTGAGATACGTTTTATAGAAGATGAGTCTCTAGAGCGAGGAAGCAGGGTAAGAAATTATTGTATGTTGTTTTTCTTTGTTGCTTTTATATTTCATGTTCTAAAACCAATATAATTATGGTATTGACGAACTGATGGTATGGTATTTAAGCATTTCCCTCTTTGACATTTATTTAGTAATGTTAGTCTAACAAAATTTCTATACCAAAATTTTCATATCAAATTATATGGTATCTTCAACACGGTTAGAAGCTAATGGGCTCAACTTATCTGATGATGATGAATATTTCATATTATTTGGTGTAAATTTGGTGACTCTTCTTTGTCCCAATTCTTGTGGGACTGCTGGTTTGACACTCATAGGGCATGACTAACCAATCCTCCATATGATGTCTTCTCGGAGATCACTCTCAGGACTTCTAAGAATGCTCATGCATTGTTTTTAGGCCTTTATATATCTTTCAAGCTATTTCCCTCGATTTCTGATTGCTCTTTCTGTTTTTCCCAAGAATAGGGTGACCTCTATTTGTATTTTTATCTCACATTGATCTGTTGATTAAAAACCCTTTTCAGGTTATTGGTATACTTGATAAAATAAAGAATGAGAGTGAGAGAAATATTTCAGAAACGCAAGGTGATGACCAACACGAGTCTTCTATTTTAACTAATGGTGATGAGGACTGGGAGGGTGATGGCCCTGATGATGAAGGCATTATTTACGTGAAGTAGTTCCTCACCTAGTTGTTCAGCTCTAACCATGTCTGAATTTGAGTATGGCCTTGCTTCTTCACGGGTTAGTCCTTTATCCTCTATGAAGTTTACTTCATTCCAGAGTTGGCAAGGTACTTGTTAATTACATTGTGCTTTTGGATGCATATCCATGCTCTTTTTATTTTGGTTGATAGGTAGACACCCAATGAAGCTTTGCTAAATTACATTGTCTCAAATATTTCACAAATTACACTGACCTCCCTTGATTCTTCTTTGCATTGATAAGATTCCCTCCTTCCGTCCAACAAGCGATAATGGCGTTTGCTGAAAATGCTGATGTTAATTGTTCTTAAGAATTCCAATTTTTTCCTTCTTTGGTCAATCTTCAACAAGTGAAATGCACAATAATAATGAATCAACTCAACTAGCCACAAAACTTCAAAATCAACCTTAAGGAAGTTAATTTCGGTATTGAAGAATAGATTCATATATGGTTATTGAATATATTAACCAGTGGGTATGACCCCATGTGGCCGGTGTTTGGGAGTTGTAATAGATTGAAATTTGGCTACTAGACTACTATTTATGCATGTATTTTCTGTCTGGCCTCAAGAATCTTTTTGTTGCGTAGACATATGGTATATTCATAGATGAAGATAAAAACGTTGAAGCAGGGAGAGTTTTGTCATGATGGTGATATTCGATGGACTGCAATCGCTTTTTTCTACCCGATCTTTTGAAAGTCAGCCAATTTCATGTAGATGTTTGTC